ATCTCATTTGCTATTCGTGTGGCAAATACGGACACAGGTCTGAAGCTTGCCCTTGCAAGGTAGACAATCATGCTGATGTTGAGGGCAGAACTTTAGTCAACATAGATCTTGATGAAGGAAACTTAAATATTTCTGAGGAGGAGGAGAAAGACAATGCTGGTTAGGGGCCTTGGGTGATGGTATCGAGAGCCAAAAAAGATGAAAATGTAATGATAAAAAACAGTGGTGTAGGTATAAAGGGAAGATGAGATGATATCACAAGACCAAAGGAAGTTGTGAAAACCCCTATTGATGATCTGGTTGATAACAGAAGCGAAGGCTATTGCTCGTCTGATGGATTTTCTAGGGAGGGGGGTATGAGATAGGGAAACGATCTGGGAATTTGGTGTTAGGTAAGCTGAAAAATAAAGGAGTGAAGGATAAGATGAGTCTGGTTGAGACAGGAAATGCTTTTAGATTGGTTTGGAATGGTTTGATGGAAACAAATTCGGGTGAAGATCTTAAGAAGGCTGATGAAGTTGAAATACTAAAGAAGATACAGCATATGGTGAAGGAGAATCTAGAGTCAGATACAATGCATAATAAAGAAGAAATGGATTAGATGGTAACTAAGTAGAAAAAAAAAGTGGATGATATTAATGTGGTGAAGGAAACTCAGATGATTGACGAGGGGTCTCCTCAAAAGGCTCCATGTAATCTCTAGGAGCCAAACCACCAGATCCAAAGATAGCTAAGGGAAGAAATGCACCCAATAAAACCATTCTAAGTGGTGTTAAGCGTGGAGTTGGAAGAGTTGCTTCAGGTCGTCAGGTGCAGGTATTATCTCAACCTGCAACTACCAAGAAAACTTCTTAATGTCTTTTTTATTTTGGAATTGTAGGGGTACAAGAAACCCAAAACTTGGTCGAACTCTGAAGATGTTAGTGGATAAGCATGCTATAGGCATGGTGATTTTTATGGAAACAAGAATTGGTAGTGAGAAAAGTAGAAAGATCATGAAGAAGATTAAATTTGCCCAAGCTATAATAGAAGAACCAGTGTGGTTTATTGGAGGGATTTGGGCTCTCTGGGATTCTAACCGGTTTAAAGTGCAGCTTCCATCCCAGACTAATGAATTCATTCATCTGAAAGTTGAAGTAACTAGTCAAAGAGAGTTCAATTGTACTGCAGTGTAAGCCAGTTCGCGGGAAGATGAAAGGCATGTGATGTGGGAGAAAGTTTATGACCTAAGCCAGACCATTAATGGTCCCTGGTGGTGATTTCAACAACATCAAAAGTGCTAGTGAGAAACAAGGTGGTACAATTCCTGATACAGCCAAATAGAGAAAATTCACTAAGTGTCTAGACAATTGTCAAGTGGATGAACCAAGACGTTGTGGCCCTAAATTCACTTGGCAAGGTCCCAAATGGCCCTATTTAAATAGAGTGTATAAAAAACTCGATAGAGTCTGTGTCAGTCCTGATTTGAGATTAAGCTTTGAAGATATTGAGGTTAGGATCCTTCCAAGGTTACAATCTGACCATAGTCCTATGCTATTGAGAATGGATCCGCATAGGTCAAATTGGCATGTGAGACCTTTTAGGTTTATTGCCTCGTGGATGGATCATCCTGATTTTAAAAACTTGATGGTTGATAAATGGAACAATAACAAAGAGATCAGCCCCATGCTTAGATGTTTTGTACCCTTGTTGCAAAAATGGAATAAGGAAGTCTTTGGGGATATTAGCAAATGGAAGAAGAGGCCCACGAAGGAAATAGTGAAAGTCCAGGCTGAAAGGATTATTTCAGACAACTTAGATCTTCAAGAGCTTCAAAGATATCTGCGTATAAACTTGGAACAAACACCGGATAGGAGGAAATGCTTTGGTTCCAAAAATCTAGACATAGATGGATCTTGGATGGAGATAAAAGGTCAAGGTTTTATCATTTGAAGACTGTGATTCGTAGAAGTTCCAACAAAATAACTAGGCTTTAGAATGATTGCAATCAGTGGTGGAAGATGATAATGAGCTTAAGCAGCTGGTATGTGGTTTTTATAAACATTTATTCAGGGAGGAAAACAATAATCGAAGATGGTTAACCTCTCCAAACATATGGAATAAAATCCCTCAGTTGATTATAGATTAAATGATTAAAATTCTAGAAGCAGAAGAAATCCATAGAGCTATGAGATCGATGAGGGCTTATAAAGCTCCTGGGGATGATGGTTTTCCTGCAACTTTCTTTCAAAGACAGTGGGGCAGTGTCAAAAACTAAGTTTGTGAAGCCATTGCCAAAATTTGGTCAAATCCTGAGTTGATTTTTGATATCAACTCAACGCTCCTAGTTCTGATACCGAAAGTGAAGTATCATTAATTTGTAGCACAGTTTAGACCGATATCTCTGTGTACAGTGATCTATAAATTATTGACGAAGCGCATTGTCCAGAAACTCAAACCGATAATGGAGACCATTATCTCCCCTTTTCATGTAAGTTTTGTCCAAATAGACAAATTCAAGATAACATTGTCATAGTGCAAGAATTTATTCTTACCATGCACAAGATGAGAGGGAGGAAGGCGTACATGGTTGTTAAAATTGATTTAATCAAGGCTTATGACAAAGTTTCATGGGCATTTTTGGAGCGTATGTTGAAAGAAATTTCGTTGCCAGAGCATACAGTCAATCTGATTATGGCGTGTGTTAAAACTACAAAGATCAATTTGCTATGGAATGGTGGAAAGACCTCTGAGCTTTGTTCTTCAAGAGGTATAAGGCAGGGCGATCCTCTCTCGCCATACCTCTTCGTTATTGCTATGAAAAAATTGTCTCATTAAAACCACTGCTACTAATGGGGGATTATGGAAACCAATGAAAGTGGGCAAGGGTGGTCCCCTTATATTTCATCTAGCCTTTGCTGATAATTTAATGATCTTCATGGAGGCTAATGAGGACCAATTGGATGTGCTTCTGAAATGTCTTAATTTGTTTGAAGAAGCTTCATGAGAAAAACTCAGTGTTGAGAAAACTAGTGTTTTCTTCTTTAGGAACACTAGTGATTATGTGGCTAGAAGAATAGTGCAGAGAAGTGGTTTCAAACATGTGAAAAATGTAGGACACTATCTTGGTGCAATGATGCAACATGGGAGAGTTTCAAAGGACCATTATGTTGGAATCGTGGAAAATATTAGAGGTGAGCTTTAACGTGTGGCAACAACAATGCCTTTCCCAAGCGGGAAAGATTACAATAGCTCAATTGGTCTTAGCATCTATACCTTATTTTCAAATGCAAAGATACAAGCTTCCATCTTCAATATGCCTTGAAATAGAAAGAATGCAAAAAGGTTTCATATGGGGAAATACATATAATAAAAGAGCCCATCATGTTATCATTTGGAAAACAATTACAATGCCAAAAGGAGTATGGTGGTTTGGGTCTGAAAAGACTGGAGCATATGAATGATGTTTTTCTAGCAAAAAAAGCTTGGAAGCATTTTATGAAACCAAATCACTTATGGGCCCAAGTTCTTCGAGCTAAATATGGGACGACTAGCCAAAACAATGGCTTGTTTGAGGTGCGCAGTGGTGATTCAAATCTTTGGAGGAATTTATGTAGGGTCTAAAAAGTTATGGAGAATGGCTTGTATGAAATCTCGGGGATGGAAAGGAAATCAGATTTTGGCTAAGATAGATGGATTTCTCAAAATTATTTTTACAATACTTATTTTAAATTATTTATACAATACTTATTTACAAATTTTTTTAAAATAATTTATTATCGTAATGTAAGGCCGTTCATTTGTGTACCAGAATATTTAATCTATTATTTCATATAAATTTTTTAAAAAATATATGTTAAGAATTAGTGTTAGGGTGTTCAAAATAAGTTAATGTAATTTACTTTTATCAATAATTAAATATAATGTATAATTAGATAAAAAGTATAGGGTGGTCCTAAATTCTTACTCGCCCCACTCCGAGTTTTAAATTCCTCTCGCGCTTGGTAGGGTGAATAGATTAGCCTAAAATAAGATAAAATAGATTAGCCTAATTGTTGCCTATTTATGACCCATTTGTTTGTACTTCTTTTTTAAAAAAATAATTAAAAATACTTTAAAACATTTATTATTATTAAATAAGATTTTTAAAGAAATAAATCTCCCACAAAAATTAATTTTAGAATATCTGCAGAAACTTTAAATCTAAAACAATTCTTACAAAAAAAACTACAAGAGTACTCTTCTTCAAAATTTGTCTAAATACATTTTTATTTTAATTTATTATTAAGTACGTGTTCTAAGAACAACTGTAATTTTTTGTAATTAATCCTTTTAATTAATAAATTAAAAATATTGATATTTTTTTTTATGTTTTTAACATACTAAACTATATTTACTTTTTTATTAATATTTCATGTTATAAATATTCTTTTCTTTCTTTTTACTTCAATTCTCTTCACCTCTATTCTAAAAGTTCTATGGAAAAAATCAATAATTTTTTGTTCGTTATGCCATTTGACCACAGACAAAACTCTTTTTGGCCTTCTAAATATCCATCTCAAAAAACTCCAACTTTTACACTATGAGAGAAAAAAAAAAAAAAAAAAAAAAAACCACCTTTTCCACCTCCGTTTCACTTTATTTCTTATTTCTTTTTTTCTTTCTTTTTTTCATTTCACGGCTTTCCCATCCTCGATTGCTCTTTCAATCTTTTCTCCCTCTGACTCTCAGCCTCGCGTGACTTTGTGCAGTCCCCAAATACTATTTTCCCTACTCCACTCAACTATCCATAAAGCATCGAAGTTCACACTTCAATCATGATGACTAGCATAAGCACCAATTTCCACGACTTATGTTGGAGCTTATCAATTATCATTTTAGAGTCCATCATGGCCACAAATCTCACTCACCCAACACCTTAAACAAAACCGATTCAATTATTAATTTACACCCAAATTAACACCAAACACAAAAAAATAAAAAAAGGAAAAGCAAAACCAATTTTGATTATAGAGCCCTGCACTACAATATTATAATTTAATTCAAATTAAAGAGAAACAAAAGCAGCAGCCAGAAAGGCAATAATCTAATCTAATTATCTAAAATTAAACTACAAGCATGCGACCACACCACGCAATTCATGGGTTTGATAACAAAGCCTCTTCATCAGCATGGCTAGCATGAAGCTCCTTTAACCATTCAAACGTTCGACGACGTGACATGACCTTCTTTCCTTGCTTTTGCCTCTGCTTCTGCTTCTTCAACTCGACCACTTTTTCTTTCACGGCATGCGTTACACTTTCTGTCTTTTTTATGCTTTTAGTACCACCTTTGATCATTACCATGTCCGATTCCACCGCTTCAATAGAACAATTACAACCACTCATTAAACCACCGCCTTTGCCAACAAACTGTTTGAAAATATGATTGCTCTTATCGCTATGATGATGACTCTTGTAGTTCTTACTCATTTTGACACTTTTTGTGGTGCTATTGCTGCTACTGCTACTACTATTACGACTTACTGAGTTTTTGTTAGCACTATTGGTGCTACGAACCTTAAGGTCTTGCAATCCTATCTCAGGTGTAGGGACCACACCCAAACGGAAAATTTCCCATGCTGATGATTTTCTATTTCTACTTTGATTGCCAAAACTTGCTCTTCTTGGATCAGATACTCTTAACTGAGGTTTTGGACTTGGGTGGGTGTGAAATTGATTTTGAACATTGGGTTTGGAAATTCTTGGGGTTGTTGTTGAGCTAGTGCTACTTGACGAGTTTTGGCTTCTAAGACTACTGCTTCTACTACTATTGCTCTGAAACTCACTTATTATAGAACCATGGTCCAATGACTCAGAACTTGATTCACAACGGTTGAATTTCTTACCATCACGTTGAACGTTGGTTAATAAACCAGCCTCGGAGCTGAATGAGAGACGCAATGGGAGAATTTGGCCTTGAAAGAAAACTTCATCAGCGACACACATTTCGGGTTCTTCTTTGGAAAAGAGACCACCCCATGATGAGTGGAAATCGAATTCTTCATGGGTTTCATTATTGACACGAGTGTCTTCTTTTCTTGACTGGTCCTCGTGGGTGATTGGAAGATCGGAAAGGGACAATGCTTCTTCCTCTTCATCCTCCTCTTCTTCTTCCACATGATCCCATTTTCCTTGGACACTGTTTGTCGCCATCTAACGAAAGGAACAAACAACAAACAGGTTTGGTTTGGTTTGGTTTGGAAGCTGTTGGGTGTCGTGGGAAGGTAGGAAGGGATAAATAAGATTTTTAAGGTTAATGATAGGGTCAAGATATTCGAATAGTGGGAGGGAGGGTGAATGTGGGTGACAGAGTGATACAAACAGAGAGAGAGAGACATTTGGAATATAAAAAGAAGAGGTAAAGTAGGGTGCTGACGAACATTAAAGTAAGAATTAAATTGGGACACTAGTGATCACCGATCAGTGTAAGCGACCCAACAAAAATAGTGTCCTTTTACTTTGTTTGGGAGTGAAGAAAGGAACTGTGACTTTTTTGGGCCTGCCACTAGTAGAACCAGTACCTATCTACCCTCACTTTAGATGCTAATCTTATGGATTCTGGATGAACGCAAGTGGGCTTGTCAAATGTCAATGTCTTAAGTGGGAGTGGGGACGATTGTGGTATTTGAAATTGAATTACAATGTAGCTTTGAAAAGGGGGAAGATTTTAAATTTGGAATACAGTAACATGAAATATGTCATCACAATAAAGTACCGAGTAACGTAGCCACCATGATCAGTTTCTTCTGATTTATTAAGGGAAAAAGATCGTATATTGCCTGATTTCTGATAAAAACACCTGAGCTAAGTTCACCTTAGCAAATTGGCGATGATAAAATTCAATATAAAGTAAAGTAGCCGTGCTTACCAAAAATAAATAAATAAAGTAACTGTATAACTTCAATGCACGGATGCATTTGTATATTGTTTATATAAAACGTCTGAATTTCGGTTATTTTGAATTGTATTATGAATATTTGAGTCTCCTCTGGATGGCTGCAGGACCTGGTGCGGACTGCAGAATGATTTAGTGGGCACTACTTGCAGAGCATATTTAGGGTGTCCATGATAACCATTCTATTCTCGAGTGTTGTTTATGAAAAGAAAGCATTCTTTATTATTTCTGTGCCTTGGAACAGTTTCTGAGACAAAAAAATGTGTTTGATAACATATTTCATTTTGATTCTGATGATGAGAATTGTGTTTGATAACACAACAAATAACATAATAAAAAATAATTCCTACTAAATATAAAAAAATTTCGGATCAACTCTTTCCTTTTCATATGGTGTGGTTGTGGTGGTGGCGGTGGCGGCGGCGGTACGGTTGTGATGGTGGCGTGGTGAAGATAGTGGTGGTGGTTGTGACGGCAGCGGCTGCGACGATGGCGGTGATAATGGTGGCAGTGGCGGTGGTAGTGGTGGTGGAGGTGACGGCAGTGATAGCGACAACGGTGGTGGGTATGTGGTTGGTGGCGGCAACAATGATAGCAGTGACATAGTGGTGGTGGTTGTGAAGGCATCATGATGGTGGTGGTAGCAGTGACTGCGGCAGTGGTGGTAGGTGACAGTAGTGGCGGTGGTGACAGTTGGTGGTGGTAGTGGCATGGTGGTAGTGATGGGTGGAGGTGGTGGTAATGGTGGCGGTGACATTGTGGTGGTGAGAGGTGGTGACGGCGGCACTAGTAGTACGATGGCGGCAGAACGATGGTGGCGACAGTCGTGTCGGGATGATGGTGGTGATGGTGATGATGGTAGAGGTGGAGAGTGATTGAGAGAGATAAGTGTTTCTCATTTTGAGCCCGGAAACAAAAAAGCAGAAATTTTTTGATTCTTTTTTCTGTTCCCCAGCACAAAAATTAAACTGGTTCATCCCGGGAACAAAAAAAATAAACCAATTTTACCAAACGAGTTTCCTATCCATTTCTGTTCCCAGAAACAGAAATTAAAAAAAAAATAATTCCAGAAAGATTGTCATGCGCACCCTTAGTGCTCCTGGAGCGCACAATATTCAGTGGGGCAAAGGAGTGAGAAAGTGAGAAAAATCTGATGAGAGAGGAGAGAGAAAAAAAATTAAGATTTTTTTAAGCCAAGTGTCAAAATTTCAATCAAAGAACTATCTTGGTGCACCATAAATTTTTTCCACTAATTGGCACAGGATGTGCTATTTGTTTGCTGTTTATATTTTTTTTCCATCATGTGTTCAAATTTTTTTTTGTTGAGTTACCAACTAATTGTATTTTATTCCGGACCTGTTGACCTTAAAATATTCGCTCAATAATAGTGAACCTAAAACTATCATATTACTAATTATTGTTTTCTTTTATTTTGATAATTGTAACTTGTAACTTAGTGCCTTGGATGAATATTTTCATTCTTTGAAAACATTCGTGCTTGCAGCCAGACAATTAAATGGGAAGTACATAGTCTGTTTTGTAATTAATTTCGAATTAATTATGTTTATGAATAAAAAATTTGATATGAAAAATGAGTGTTTTTTCATAATCGAATTGATGCGAATCATCGAATAAATATTATTGAATCATGACTTTACATTTTCCATAAATAAATAGGAACCGAAATTTTAAGATACGAATTTTTGAGCTATTCTATACGAAAGCATCGCCATAATAGTAGAGATAATCTATTCTATGCTAAGAGATAATTATTCACGAATCTTGGACATTATAAATAGGGTAAAATTATCTTAAGAAGGCAGTATTTAACACTAGACCTGAATTACGTTTAATTTTGTGTTATTACATGTTTTAATTTTTAATATGTATTTCATGAAACTGTGAATATTATTGAAGTGATTTCTCTTACTGCCACTCTATAAAACCGCATATGAGATTTTCATCTCATATGGCTCCTCGTTCAATTCTTTGATGTAGTCATAAATTCTCTTGAGAGACCCTATGTGATTCTTATTGAAGCATATACTCGAGGGGTGGATGCGGGGCGGACGATTCGCCATCAAATCTCTGGGTTCAACCCTAGACTAGCGGTGAAAACTATCTAGCTGGAGTACGGATACTCATATTGGTATTTGCACCAAAACAAACAGAGAGTCTTTGTCATTTGATCCAATAACGTTTCGTTAGATAGGAACAGATTTGATAAATATTGATAACAAAAAAGAATACTCGAGTTCGTTATAGAAAAGACAATAGTCTTTGTCATGTATCATGGTCTTCGTAATAGAAGAGACATTTGACGATAAGCTTCAGCTTGTTATCCCTAGAGTAACTTTTACCGTTGTGCGACGGCCCTTTCACTCGGTACCGTCGGATCACTAAGAACATAAAATAGATATGTCGTCTTGATAGAGAGATGATTTTCTCCCGTCATATATTTATTCTAGTATCTAGGACATTTCCCATTTTTATAGGAACTTATGTACCATACAATGGTATCTCCAATAATATCTCCTTTGGGGTGTAAGATATATCTTTTCTCATCGTTCCCAGAGTATATTAGACAAATATATGCATTTCGATTAGGATCGTATTGTATGATTACTCATATATCATCCCCCTTTTAACATCATTTGAATAACAATCTTCATTCTCATCTCCCATAATCTTTTTAGATTTCTTAACTCTTCTCCCGTAATCGTGTATATATATATATATATATATATATATATATCCATTCATTTTTGTTTTGGCTTCAAAAATTATAATTGCAAAGTACAAAAATGATCGAAACAAGACATATCTATATACTATAGATAATATATAATTATAATATAAAAAATTATTATTTTTTCTCTTTTTATGTCAAGAGAAATGAACCAGAAAAGAAAAAAATTATATTATAACTATATATATAGCTAAGATCAACTTATGCCCGTATAAGAATAACAAGTCTTACATCACATCCTAACTGTTAATTCCGTGCATTTAACGGTTAAAATTCATTGGGTCATAATGATAAATTAATTAATATGCCCAAGAAGTCTTTACTGTTAGAGATGTGGTATAAAATCTTTTATTATTATACCGATGTAAAAGTAACATGTCATATATGGGAAATAATACTCTCATGCCATATGAGATACTCCTATTTTCCTACACAAATTCGTTTTCCGTGCCAATTAATTTTTCTTTTCTTTTTTAATATAAAATATGGGACCCACATTTAACTTCTCTCTACTTTTTTTCTCTCCTACAATCCTACAACATAAGAAAAGTTAAACCCGTCATATATATATATATATATATACATATATATATATAGTTATATATATATATATTATATCCTAACTACCTACCAAAGAAGTCATCACAAGATAAATACTTAATTATTTTAACAACATTATACAACAATAGAATTCTTATCCCAAGAGAAAGAAAGCTTAATCCTACTACAACTGGAAGATCTACATAAATTCTAGAGGTAGCCCTTATAAATAAGAGGCTAAAGACCCCAGATACACACTTTTTGATCTATATATTATTACTGTCAATACTGTTTGTGTGCAGTGATTGAGATACTGACTATAAACCAACCAAAATACATATCTTTAAGATATCTCTAAACGCATACCATACAATATAACAATACGATCATCTAGGACCTAATATAATATATATATATATATATATATATATATATATATATATATATATATATATATATATAATATAACCCATGAAACAGTACAGATTCACATGGCCCAACTATTCCGGAAACGAGCCCAATTGTAAGCTAGCGGTTGACCCACACAACTGGAAACGTGACGAAGTCCTGGGAGACAGAATTACTTTGCACTTCTACATAAAAGGAAAGAAAACAACAAAACTCTAGCTTCACCATTCCGAAAGACAGAACTAACTAAAAAAGGGATCAAACAACACAATTGAGAAAAATGATCATTTTTATCCACTATTATTAATCAAAACATCTAGTTTCTTTGAGTTGAGAATGGGAAAAAAAAAAAAAAAAAACCTTGCGACGTAGTCATTAGGTAAAGATTGATAATTCTTAGCCGTTTGTGGCTTGTAGCCTTTTGAATGGCATCACCAATCCAAAAATATCATACCCTCTAAGATAACCTGAATTTAAGAAAGGATTTAATACAACAACAAAGATAACCTACATTTGAGAAAGGATTTAACACAACAACAGAAACGTGTTACATAGAAAATACAAGATGCTAATAAAAGCAAAATTTAAAAGTGTAATAATCTAACAAATCAAAATGAAACCAGAATACGATTTCTTATTACACGAAATAAAC